GTCAAGCAAGTCAATGTAGAGCAAATAAATTACTAGTTTGATGGGGCCCAAAAGGTCAATCCAATACTATTAAGTTACATTGTAATAGTAATCTCTTGAAATATAGCTCATTACATCGTTGCAATGTGGAAGGGATATTATATTGTTGCGATGGCTCATACAAAACCCAGCAAGACGTACGGTAACTCAAATAGAGCTCAAAAATTGACTTAATTTCCATCTAGCAAGACCCTATCAAGATGACCCTGTGTCTACCACATTATGTGCAGACTCAATCCTAGAAGGCCATGTTGGCGAAAGTACTTCTTTTTTAATGAATTAACCCTATTATACTAGGGCATCAACCTTGAAATCATGAAGCAAGGTAAAAAAGGAATGTATTAGACCTAGGCAATACAGTTTTTCAGAAATAAAGAAGAAAGGTGAGCTATATAGATGAATCCTAGTGTCATACAGCTATTATCAGAATTAATTTGAAAGTCTACAGTACGAATGTTACTAAAGAAATTACACCTAGAAAATATATATCTTCAAATACATATTAGCAGAAAAGAGAAAGATACCTACTAGTAAAGGCCGACAATTGTTAAGAGATCCATGAATATTAGCAATTTAATGAATATAAGCATATAACACTGAAAAGAAATTCATAACCAAACATTACAATATGTGATGAACTCAAACGAGATTTGCAAAAAAATCTTAACAAAAATCTGTTTTTAATATAGATGTCCCTGTTAAAACTAGATCAATGGTACAAGTGTTAAAAAACAGTTTTCAGATTTCAGTCAAAAAGCAACATACTAGGGGAGTATATACAGTGTATGGAACATGCTGGAAAATCCAGTTTTTCATATTTCTCCATCTAAGAAGTAAATTGAATGAGAGGGAGAAAATTTGAGTACTTTAAAATTTTAAAAACACGTACGGGATAAAGAGATATCCTTAAGAATATGAACAAGATGTATTATTTTGTAGTATATTGAGGTACATCTAAATCTGATACTAAGTTTTAACAAGATGAATGAAATGATTCTGTTGGATCCAACCTAATGGAGTTGCTGAATGATGTGGGTGCCTTGGCAGTCTCCTCTTTGAACAAATTTAAATGTACTTAATATTTATTTTTCCCCTTTGTCACTCTGACAGAAATGTTGAAGCTTGCTCCGAAACTGTTTGGATAACTGCTTGAACAAGATACCCAACCAGCAGTCCAATTATCTCTTCTTGAAAATTTTGATGTAAAAGCAACTTTATTCCCCTTCTCGCAAATATTTTAAGAATTCATTCATGCTTCTTCCCCAGCTAAGAAAAATAACAGTAAGCAACTCTAGAAAATTCCTAGAATGCCAATGCAATCCCCGGCAGTATATGCTCAAGAGACTGTTTCATTGTCAAGTTATTGCACCATTCACTTTGATTGAGCTACTGCCAAGAACCTTTTTTTACTCCAAGATCTTTCATTTTTGCTCTAACCTTTGTTACATCATCCCATCTATCAGCAGCGGCATAGATATTGGCCAGAAGTGTATGAATACTGGGATCACTTGATTCAATTTCTACCTGCCGATGGGCCACTTATTCTCCCATCTCAACATTGCCATAAGTCCTGCAAGCACTAAGCAAGGAACCATAAAGTGGAACAATGGTTTCATTATCTTTGCTTGGTATATCATCTATCAACTTCTCTACTTCAGCAAACAGTCCAGCTCGACTGAGTAGGTCAATCAGACACGCATAATATTTCAACTTTGGCTCAATCAGATACACTTTTGACATGGAATCAAAAACCCTATGACCTTCTTCAACCAATCCTCCATGATTAGAAGCACTTAAAAGTTGAAACACCAATAAAAGTGATATCATCAGGTTTTTCTTTGGTTCGTTTCATTTCCAAAAATAACTCAAGTGCCTTGCTTGTCTGCCCATTAACTGCGAGCCCACATATAATTGAAGTCCAAGAGGCAGTATCCCTTTTTTATACCATCAGAGCAATGTTCACAATTTTGAATACCCGTTGACTCTTTAAACTTCATCAAATGTACTAAAAATGAATCACATATTTCAAGTACCCGTTAAGTTTTGCTTCAATCACATTATATGTTGTTTGTTTGATAGAAGTTTGATGTAGACTAAAAATAGAAGAAAATACAGAAAAGAGAATAAGAAATTGAAGAGGAAGAGAGAAACAGATAGAGACTAGAGCGAATGAGAGAGGAAGAGAGAGAGATTGAATTTCTTTTTCAATAATGGCCGAATGAATCACAACCTCTTTCCCATGTCCTTTATATATCGGAATTATTCTCCCCCCAAACGGTAACTAAATAGTATGTAATTAAAAATCATTTAGTGCACTGTTAACAGCTGTTTAATTAACTAGTTAATAATAACAAGTAGTTGGCCCACTTCAGTTAACTAAAAGCCTATTATATAACTTTGGTTGGGTCAGTTCATTTGAGAATTAATTTAGATAATATATGCATGTAGTCGATTGTATTACTAAGAGTTAATTATATTTTTTGTATTTAAATTTTAAAAATTTTATATGAATTAGTATCTAAATATATAAAATATATAATTTACACCTTAATTTTAAAATAATGTATAATTTGTTCTATAAACTTTTAAAATATATATCATATTAATTTAAACTCTAATCTTGCTAGTATGTTAATTTATATATACGGGGTTTGATAAATATTATCAAATTATGCTTTCACCACACATACTATCAACATATTTTTTTCAATATAAATTAAAAATATATATTTTAGATTTACTTGAACCATAAAAAAAGCTTAGAATCATATTTTTTGTCATGTAACATCCATATGAAGATTTTTATTAAATATTAAATATTTTTATTTAACAAATAACACTAATATAATAAAATTATATTGATTAAATATCATATAAATGAGTTAAGTTAACAATATTATAAATTGAATTAAATTAATATATTCTTTAAACATTCATGGTGCAAATTATACAATTTATTTTTTAGATGCTAATTTATATATTTTTCCAAATTTTAGATATAAAAAATACAATTAATTCAAAATTGTGAGTTTAAAAGAATTTATACACGTAATATCTTAATATCTTAAAAAGTTAAATAAATAGCATTTGTTATCATTTTTAAAATCACAATGATAATATAATCATCAAGGTAATTTTATCACTTGTGATTTGAAATCATTTTATTTGATTAACCATTATTAATTCATATAAATTAAAAATCATTGTATTTTATACTACTAAAAATCAAATACTATTTTATTTAAAAGTACTAAAATAACCATATTTATTGTAATAATTACATAAGTTAATAATTTAAATGTTGTTTAAATATAATAATTCATAAAACATAATAATATTTTATAATCAATATAATTAAATTATTAAATTATTATATATATTTATTAAGTAAACTAATTTTTATAATATAAATTATGAAAAAAATTTGAATTAGAAAACAAAACTAATCTATTAAAATCATAATAAAAAACAAAGACATTATATTATATATAAAATATTAGAAAAAGTTAAAAAAAATAAATTATTTTTCAACTTTTTGTAATGAATATTAATTTGAAAACATAAGAATTTATAATATATATAATTAAAATTTTAAGAGGAATCAAATTTCTAATTTACATGTTAAATGGATAAATTTGATTATTATTAATTTTATATATTATTTCATCTCGATAATAAAAATTTTTTATCTTTTTTTATAGAAATTATATCATTTTTCAAAATAGTGATTTGATCACTCCTAATGATCTAAAATCACTACCACATTAAATCATCAAGTGTTTATCAATATGATAATTTTATAAACATGTTTAAATCATCATAATTTTTAAAATAATCACATCGTTAAAATATATTACCTTAAAAAGCTAAGACCTGGTTGGGCTATAGTTGGGGCAACTAAATGGGCAAGATTCAAACGTTGCAAAAGCTCTAGTGTGGGCCATTCTAGTTCCCATAAAGTGGGCTCCACCATGCAAGTCCGTAAAAGGGTAATCAGTAATGGGCTCTACATTGCCACCAAAAAAAAAAAAGGGCTAAAAAGAAAACTGTGTTTTAAATGCTTGAATTGCTTTTGACCCACTTTCTCTGTCAAAAATTTAATTCCAATCGACTGTATTGGAATTTTCCTTCCTTAAATTATAGTTTTCTTAAAAATATTTAAATAAATAAAAATTTTTCATTAATCGGATTACAAAAGAAGAGTTTGTATATTATAACATAATTATATTTTATTTTATAAATTTCATCATTTAATTATTTATAAATATAATTTAAAAATATAAAATTGTAATTATTGATTTGAAATGTTCTTGGAACTTTGATTTTTTCATTAGCATTTTGTTTTTAACAATATTGCCCTAATTAGCGGAATTTTACTAGCCGATCGGAATCTATATACAAAATGGGAAATTTTTACCACTGCTAAACCATTCCGTTACGATTCACTGTCCTTCCTAGATGCGGTCGTATAGGTCTATTAAGTAGTGAGAAAAAAATTAAAAAATTTGAAAATTAATTTAAATTTAAAAAATTAGATTGGATTAATTTTTTTATTATTTGATTCACATTAAATTTTGATATTAAATATATATATTAAGTGTGAATTAAATTTTAAATAAAAAATAAAAAAATCAAATTAATTCAAATTATATATTTTTTAATTTTTATATATATTTTAAATTTTTATAAAATAAAAATAATAATTTTATAAAAAATTTTACTTAAATATATTAAAATTTTATATTAAAATAATATATATAAATTAAAAATTAAAAATAAATAAATCAATTCAAACTAAATAAAAAAATTTCGATTCAATAAAATTTAAATAAAATAAAAATTCAATTCAAATCAACTCAAATTTTAAAATTTTATAATATTATATAATATAAAAAAAATTGAATCATCCGAACCATTATAACCCCTTACACGTTCAAAGCACTCTGAAGTCTGACTTCGTCCTTGTTTTCCCGTTGAATTTTTTTGCAAGCGTATAGCCGTGGGAAAGCAGTGCCTCCCTCGCCATTGCTCTCCCTGTTACGGATATTACCAAATCAAACACGCAGATTTGTTTGATACTACACCCCTACGCCTCTGCCTCCGAAAACCTCGCCTTAGCTCTTCCAAACAACCATTCATTTTGATCTCTGCTTCTCCAACATCTCCCTGCTCCTGTTCCTTGTCGGTGACTTCTCTGTTTCAATTTTATCTGTTTTAATTTCTTTATTTTACTTTTAAATCTGCTTTTCTTATTATTTAATTTGTCTAGATCAATATTTAATTCTTCAATGCCCACATCCCCATTTCTTCCCATGAAGTCCTTTTCTGCTTCACGATCTCTTATAATTCCCCACTGATGCATCTGCCGTTGTCAATTTTGTTTGAGATCTACTGGTTTTAAGTTCTGGTTATTTGTTATTTTTAACATAAAATCAGAATCCTCTGGGGAAAAAGTAAAATGTCACCAATTAGATTTGATTCCAGTAGACAATACTATGCCACAAGCAGTTTGCTAGTTGGTTATGCACTTTGTTCAAGCTTACTTGCTGTTATCAACAAATTTGCAATAACCAAATTCAACTATCCGGGTTTATTAACTGCATTGCAGTACTTAACTTCTGCTTTAGGGGTCTGGGTTTTGGGCAAGCTTGGGTTTTTACATCATGATCCTTTCACATTGGATATTGCCAAGAAGTTTTTGCCTGCTGCTATTGTCTTTTACCTTGCAATCTTCACAAACACCAATCTTCTGCGTCATGCGAATGTTGATACTTTTATAGTGTTTAGATCCTTGACACCCCTTTTGGTTGCCATAGCTGATACGACCTTTAGGAGGCAACCGTGCCCGTCAAAGCTAACATTTGTGTCTCTCTTGATCATTCTGGGTGGTGCTGTTGGCTATGTGGCCACTGATTCGGCATTTACTGTGACTGCATATTCGTGGGCGTTTGCATATTTGGTGACAATTACTACTGAGATGGTTTATATTAAACATATGGTGATGAATCTTGGGTTGAACACTTGGGGTTTTGTGTTGTACAATAACTTCTTATCGTTGATGATGGCACCCATATTTTGGGTTTTGACTGGAGAATACAGAGAGGTTTTTGCTGCTTTGGGAGCCAATGCTGGGCATTGGTTTGAACCTGTGGCGTTTACTGCAGTATCTTTGTCATGCTTGTTTGGTTTGCTTATTAGTTTCTTTGGATTCGCAGCTAGGAGGGCAATCTCTGCCACAGCATTTACTGTTACTGGTGTGGTTAATAAGTTTCTTACAGTTGTGATCAATGTGTTGATTTGGGATAAGCATGCTACTCCTTTTGGTTTGGTTTGCCTCCTCTTCACACTGGCAGGAGGGGTTCTTTATCAGCAGTCAGTTACTGGACCGCCACATGAGTTAACAGCATCCAGGAAGACAGGTGATGAGAATAGGAATGATGATGTTGAAGAGAATCAAGGTAAGAGTGTCTCTGGTAAACATGCTTCTGTATGAGCAATATTATTTCTTATTTTTCATGGTTTTAGCTGCTAAGAAGAGTGTTGGGATGTATGAATCTAGGGTATCCCTCATTTGGAAGCACATTTTCTGTGTGCAATCCTGTATTTAGAATTTAAACATGATTAGCACTTAGCCCTTTAGCATTTTGGTGATTTATAAATCATTGTGCTTCGGGTTCATTAGTGACAATATTGTGGCATTCTTTGTTGCTTCATGTACTAGTGGTTGCAATTTTTCCATGTATGGTCTTTGGCTCATCAGAACTGAGGAATATGTATTTAGTTGTTTGTTCTTTACTTTTCCTTGTTAATAGATATTTTGGTTAGGAGTGTAATCAAGCTGAGTTGATACAGTAAAAAGTTCAAGGTCGACATGAAATTCGCTACTCGAAACTTGGCTCGAATTTGATTGAGTTTTAATTTTCAAGTCTGAGCTCAACTCAAGATAAATATCAAGCTACTCGAACTTGTTCGATTAGGCTCATTTATTAAATAAAAATGAGTTCAATTCTTAAGCTTGATTCCAAGCTCAATTATTTATATTTAAACTCAAATTGATATATAAGGGTAAAATAGTAATTTTCTTAATTAAAAATAGTAAAAATATATGTTAAAATATAAAAGCTCAATTAGATTCACAAGTTAATCAAGGTGGTCATTAAGATGCTCTAATTGGGGTTGCTTGATAAGTCGAGTTGCTGGAGATTGAGGTCAATTCGACAATGACCAAATTGAATTCAAGTTTTATCCAAGCTGAGTCCAAGTAACTTGTTAGTATTGATGTATCATTTGCACCCTTAATTCTGATGACCTTGGTTTAGATATTGATGTTGCTATCAGTTATAGGGTCCCGGATTAGTTTTAAGGATCTATCTGATTTAACCGCATTTTGATTCTTAATACCAACATAGTATCCCCCAGTTGAAAAAGGAGGAAAGAAAGTAGACTACAAAACTTTATGTCATATCTTGAACTCTAGACTTATCACGTGTCTTACAACTTGAATTGAGGCAAGCTTGATTTGTGGTGCGGTAGTGAAGAAGACACCACGTCTCATGTGATTGACTCATGTTCTGATCAGCATATTGCAATTAGTGCCATTGATTCATCACTAAGATCAGCCACTGCTGAACTATTTTGTTATTTTTATTCTTTGATACCGTGTCTACCATTTTACCACTGGTCTTGGGAATTTGCTAGTTCACTTAGTCACACATACATGATACATGATAGACTGGATCACTGGCCAATGACCACTTATTCTTTTAGTTTATCCGAGTTCTGTTTGCTTCTTGCCTTTTCTCATTATTTCTTTAAGCTTTCAGCACAGACACCCAGATGAGTTTTAGTTGTTATTAGATGCTTTCTTATCAAATATGAGAACCCTGAATTGATGCTGTTCCTATTTGCCTAGGGTTTTAGCTTGCATCGAAGTTTTATTCAATTTTGTTTAAGTTCATTTGTGGTAAATAGGCATTCTGCAGAAGATGAATATTTGCAAATTTTATATGATTAAGAATCCTATCATGGGTGGATATCATTTTCTTTTGTCTGGGTGATGTGCAAGTCCTCGAGTAGGATTCTATCTGTAGGAACTTGTTTGCCTTGCAATATGTAATGAAATTAGTGAAATGCATTTGGCTGCATTCTGTGTGCCTGAGATGCCTGTTGCCGGAGAAAGGAAGCCTGGTTACCTTAATCCCTATGCCTAAAACCCTTTGAGTAGATAATACATGCAGTTATGCACTCAAGAAAACACCCGTTAATAATTCGGAAAGATTGTTGTTCTAACTAATCCACTTCCATAGCTATTTTTAAATTGTTAATTAAAGAACATGACCCTGAAACAATCGCCAACTTCTATCTATGGTGACTAGCTGGTTAAGCCATAATTTTTTATAAAGACTGTGTTGGACGTGAAATTGAAGTGTGAATTTCCTTCATCCACCACTCAAAACCTAACTGCATGCCCCCAAAAAAACCACAATAGATGTAATTGTTTCCGGTTTGACCCGTCTAAGCTGCATTTCTAAATCTTCTTTCCTAGCCTACATATTTTCTCGTGTCAAAACATCTTTCTCAGGTTAATCTCTAAGTACTTGAAGCACGATCTATACTCTATCACCGATTATACGTACTAGGAGTTTGTTTCATATCCAACGTTTAACTCAAATATTTTGCTCTGTATGTAGGCAAGCGTCCGCCCACTTGCCAAATCCCAAAACAGCACCCCAAATGGTTACAAGAAAGCAACTGATTAGCCATAATTACGCTGTCCTCTTTGACACACTCAAATTGCACCTCACCAGAAAAACACCAAGCCCCATCACAACAACCCACCCAGCCTAGGTTTGACTCAACATGAAACATAGCCACGCCAGCTGTAACATAGATAAGGGACAGGTTTAGTTGCCAAAGAAAACCCTTGTCCCTAAGCAGCCAATGCTTTTGGCGCACAGGTCGAACATCAATGCTTTTGGTGAATAGGTCGAAATTAAGCAGCCATCCCTTTCTCTGTAGTGCAATACTTAGGCCTCCCTTTCATCACATCGGCAGCGTGACTCACCTCTCTCAAATAAATATGGTATTAAGTGCTAGAATTATGTATACTCCCCACCTTTGGCTTAGTTGAATACTTTCTTCTCATTTTTTTTGTACACTCAAGACAATCAAAAACGTCGACTTCCAATCAAATTATTCGAGTTTGTCCACCATCTCCACCGTCCATTTTTCCGACCATGACGCCATCCGCAATCCGCATGGGAAGTCTAGCTGGACAATTTGTCCTTTTCCCTTCAATACTACGTATTAATACGCTCATCATTGCTTTATATTTTACTTATATGCTTGAAAGTACCCCCACTATATATAAATTGCAACACTTGAAGACCAAATTATTGTTCTAAAAACATGGATGAATGTCAAAATTCAGACACCAACTCACTTGGTTTCTGCCTTCTTCCCTCGGAGCTCATACAAAACATTCTCTTCTCCCTAGCTTTGCCCGAAATTATTCGCATGAAATTAGTCAACAAGTTTCTTGCTTATGTTATATCCGACCAAAATTTTATCCGGGAGTGCAACCTACGATCAAGGTCAGCCACTTGGTTGTTTGTCTACAAGAAACGTTGGCGTCAGGACGCGGCAATTCATGGTTTCTCCGATCAATCCAACCGTTGGTTCAAGATTTCGATTGGTGATTTGATGAAACAAGTGGTTTTTTATCCGGGTGAAGATATTTATTTATTAACAGCGAGTGGGAATGTTTTTTTATTTGCTTCCAATACTCAAAAGGCAGTTATTGCCGTTAATTTGGTTAGTAAGGCAGTTAAAAAGATCCCTCCATGTCCACTGGGTCCACGTGGGACTTCCTCGTGGAGGAGATCAGGGATGAAGTTGGTACCAGAATCATCCGGTTCGGGTCATTTCCGGTTTATGTTTGTTGAGTTAGTGGAGAACCGTCCGGTTCTGTTTGAGTACAATTCAGAGATTGAAAAGTGGCAGTCCACTGAAGCAAGAGAGATTTGTGGAAACTTTCCAGGGAAAGATTGTATGTTTCTCAATGCACTTAATGGACCTTATGAAAGCTTGGTGATTGCCGTTGGATCTGAATTCGACTCACCAATGATTCTACGGCCAAGATTAGGAAACGGAGGGCAGCAATCATCCACTGCATTCAGCTGGGTGAACACCAATGATCGGAGACATGTGTACGGTGATGGACACATGATGGTCATAAGATCGAGGGCCGTTGACAACATGGATAAGAGGGTGAAGATGGTAAGTAGCATAGAAATGTGGGAGATAAGCCTAAATAGTGGGAATTGGGAGTTTGTTTCAAATGTTCCAAGTGACACGATGAAGCAAATAGGGAAGCCGTATGGGGTCATGATAGGGTGCTTAGAGGCAAGAGATGGGGTAATTAGGGCGGTTTTGATGTCAAATTTTGAGGGTTTATGGGACATTATTTGGCTGACGTATGACAAAGAGAGGTGTCTTTGGACTTGGGTGGCATTGCCTGATTGCAAGATGAAGGGCTCTAACCTGGCTGGAATCACATTCTCCTCAGGCCTTTCCTTGACAGGATCTACTTGTAGGAAATAGACGGCTGCTAGATTAAGAGCATCCAAGAGGATCGATGCTCCAGGGTTGCACTCTTTTTTTTTTTTTTTTTTGCCCTTTTGTCCAGTTTGGTTTTATACGAAGATTAGTAGTACTAGCACTGGTTTTGTAAGATTTTAATGATGGCTTTGCTAGAAAAAAAAAGTTCCTGACTTTGAGGAAACTTTTCTTGTAGATTTTTAACACAATAATTACGGGTTCTGATGTCTCCACAATGGGCCTAAAAATCTGAACGGTGTGGGCCAAGTCTCAAATGACCGATATGCGAACAATGAGAAAAGAGAGGAAGAAATATGAAATTGATGACAGGACCGTAAAAAAGAATAATTTAATGTGGCCAATAACATGTGGGCACATGGAAGAATCAATTTAGGGGAGAAAGTAATTAACAATTAATTGAACTCCTAATATAGACAGAAAAAATCAGAGAACAAATGATTAAGTTTGATGGACTGTAATTACCCAAGGCATTCAAGCAATCAACAATTTCATTATGGTCGAAAGCCTCAAATCGGTAATTTTTTTTTTATTTTATAATTTTTCAATTAACTTCATATTTATTTGATTCAAAATTGCTATTTTAACATTTCTAATTTATGATTAAAGCATTCTATTAGTAGCATCAAAAGTAAAAACGACAACGAATCAAGATGGGATAGATTTTTATTCACCTCAAATTCGATTATATCTATAATATTTAAAATTGATCTAACTCGATAATTTTTTTAACTTTTTATATCAGAATCTAATTTGATCCGATATTATATAAAACAATATCAATTTGACTTAAAATCAACAAAATATTATTTTTTAAATATAAATTATTATTTTTTAAATATAAATATAAAATTAAATAAATAATAAAAAATATTATATATATACTAGATCGGGTCGGGACAGGTGTCATAATATATAAATTTGTAAACTTATCGTTAGACATAAACTTTAAAAGTCATCACAAATCTTTTTTATTTAGGTGTGATTGATCATCTAATTGAATCTGTCTTATTTTATTGAGTAATTTCAAGATTGACTTAGGTATATTTAAATAGTATATTATAATCTATGAAACTAAAGTTTAGATTTAAAAATATGGTTACGTGTAAGATGTAGACATCCCATTTTGTCTAGGGATTTTTTGAATTTCATTAAGTTTCAAAATTTAATTTTGATTGTGCAATTAGACTTTAATTGAAAAAGTAAATTTTGAACTTAAAGATTAAGCCCTAAATTTTATTTGTATTTTAATTTTTTAGTTTAATTTTTTGCTTAATTTTTATTTTTTTAGTAAAAAAAGTCAAAGTCAATTGGTAAAAAAAAGGTAAAAAAATTTAAAATTTTGAGATTTTGCATGAAAAATCTTAAATTTAATTCAACTATTAGATTCTATCTCAGATTTTAACTTTAATGGATGATTAATTTTGAAAAAAATTTGGACTCAATATATTGAAAAAAAGGAAGATTACACAAAATAAAATTTGGAAAGAAATCATAAATTCGGTTGAATTAATTTCTTTCAAATCGAAAAGGGTTCAATCCCTATATAAGAACCTTGAATCTGTGATCAAAAGTGACCTTACAACAATTGATTTCAAGATCAAATAGAGGTCATTAAAAAGAAAAAAAATTTGGGTAAAGTTTTGAATCAATAAGGAAGAAGCAATTAAAGAAAAAATTTTGTAAGAAAATCTAGTTGAAGTTCTAAGAAGAAAGTTTAAGTTTTATAATAGTAAGCATCAGTTTTTGAAAGGTGAAAAATTATTGGAACCTGTGAACTATTGAGTTAATGTTTGCTTTTTTTTGTGATTTTTGCATAACTTTTATAATATTTAATTATTTACTCTTATTTTTATATTTATTGCATGGTATTTATTTTTGCATAAATATGCATGATTGATATTATATTTGCATGATAATTTATTTCCTAATATTTGTTTGCATGATTAATATATTTATTTATGTGATTTATTAATATATTTGCATGATTATTAATATATTTATTTGTATGACTATATTTAATTTGATTGCATGATTATTAATATATTTATTTGAATGATTATATATTTAATTACATGTTTATTTGTATGATTTTATATTTAATTGCATATTTTGCATGGTTTATATATTATTATTTACATGATTACATGATTTATGTATTATTATTTGCATGATTATATATTTAATTGCATGTTTGTTTGTATGATTTATATATTATTATTTGCATGGTTTATATATTACTATTTACATGATTATATATTTAATTGCATGTTTGTTTGCATGGTTTATATATTTTTATTTATATGATCATACATTTAATTGCATGTTTATTTATATGATTTACACTGTTAATTGCATGATTATTAATTTATTTATTTGTGTGATTATATGATTATTAATATACTTATTTGCATATTTATTTTTTTTATTATTGCATAATTTTATATTTATTGCATGATATGATAGTATATGTTATTTTATGATTAATATTATATTTGAATAATATTTAATTGCATGTTTCTATATTTATTGTGTGCACAATTGCATGATTATACATAATTACTAATATATTTGTCTGATTATATTTGATTTCATAATTATGTATTTACGTGAATGGTTATTAATATATTTGCATGGTATTTTATATTATTGTATGATAATATATATGCATGATATTATATATTTATGTGATTGTTGTTATTGCATAATAATTAATATATTTGCATGATATTTTTACATGAATATTTTAGCATAATCTAGACATGATATTATTACATGATATTTGATATGATTTTATAATATATTTGCATGATAATTTTAGTATGATATGATTTAATATTTATTGCATGATTGCATGATTATTGATATTTTGATAGATTTTTTTTTATGACCATGTGGTGTAAATCAATAAAAGGATTGAAATTGATTTATTTGCATAATAAAACTATCTTTGATAAGGCTTAGGTAAGATAATATATAATTAATTTGATATTAATTTTATATTTAAAGGGGTGTTAATATATTTCCTACACGTAACCAACTCTCAAACCTAAGTTCTAATGATGTAGGTCAGAATCTATTTTTTTTAAAGACCTTTAGTTTATACTCAGAACAACCTTAAAAAAGATAGATTCATATAAGTGGCTAATCATACCTAAGATAAAAAGATTGGTGATGATTCCATGATTTTTGTGTCTAATGGGTAGATTTTTCAACTTAGATGTTATGACAATTTAGCGACTCCACTAAAGATATTAAAAAGTCAAGCTATTAGTTAGTTATATATTATCCTAAGCCTTGCTTTAATGATTTTATTAAGTAATTATTTGTGATTTTCATATTAGTAACCTACTTGTTTTTGTTTTCTTGTTTTGTAGATTATAATTTTGATGTGCATCAATTTATTTGATTATTTGGCATATCTCTTTACACATTCTACTCTTGCATTCATGCATAAGCTTTAAACCAAAACTTTGTCCTTTATTAAAAAGGAGTAACTACCAATACTCTCATGAAGTGATAACCTTCGTATGAGCTAGCGAAAACTCCTACTCAAATTAAATCTTTTTCGTATGAGCCTGTAATGGTAGACGAGAATTGGGGTGTCCTACTAGTATATAATAGATAATGATGTAGAAAATGGTTTGGGAGCCTTTAAAGTGCGAAACCTTTAAACACAGCATGTAAATAAATCCTAAGAATCTAAACCTAAGTTAGAGCCCTACCTTTCTTTTTGCTAGAAAATCTAAATAGGACATATGATGAAACATTTATTCTGTTTGTAAATTTATATATTGTTTCTTATGTATATTATGTATATACTAACCCTTTATATTTTTCCTTATATATAGTATGTTTACTAACCATTTTCTTTTGCTATATATACATGTATTTGCATCCTTAAATCCTTCTTCTTGCATTCATGCATATATGCATTCATTCATGCATTATTCCATTTCACTTTTTCATATATTAAAAGATGTGAATGCTTAATTGTAAATTAAAGAGTATTTTTTTAAGTTTTTACATAGTTGTGAATTTGAATTTTTGTTTTTACTATGTATTGTATACTTGTAAACATTTTTGTATATGCATTATTTCATTTGCCTTTTCAATTTCGTATATAGTTATGGATATAAATTCTTGTTTTTCACTATTTATTGCATATATGTATTTGCATATACATTTTTATCCATGTAAACATTTTTGTGCGTACATTATTTTATTTGTTTGGAAAACTCTTTACATTTTCAATTTTGTACATAGTTTTAGATATAAGTTATTGTTTTTCACTATGTATTGCATACATGTATTTACATATAAATTTTTATCCCTTTTTGTATGCACATTATTTTATTGGCTTAGGAGAATCTTTCCATTTTCAGTTTTATACATAATTGTGAATATGAATTCTTATTGTTATTATGCATTATATACTTGTATATACATTTTTATCCATGTAAATATTTTTGTATGTATATTATATTATTTGTTTGGGGTAATCTTTGCCTTTTTAATTTTGTAAATAGTTGTGAACATGAATGCAATGCATATATGTATTTGCAAACACATTTTTATCCATATAAACATTTTTGCATGTATATTATATTATTTGTTTGGGCAATTTTTGCCTTTTCAATTTTGTAAATAGTTGTAAATATGAATGCATTGCATACATGTATTTGCATACACATTTTTATCCATGTAAACATTTTTACATGTACATTATTTCATTTGTTTGGGGTAATCTTTGGTTCATAAATATGAATTTTTATTTTTCATTATGACTTACATACGGGTATTTGTATATATTTTTAATTTAAGGTCATTTGACATATGTGATCGGACACTTAGTATTATTATACTTTTCAAACTCAGAAATCCTAAACTTTGACGGGATTACAATATCTAGGATCAAATAAAGGCTAGTAGTATCCATAGACCATAAAAATCTATACCTTCAACGGCTTATAGTTTTTCTTTTAATAGATTCATCTTCTGTTCAACTTTGAGTCTTTTAAAATGTTAACCATTTTTAATTTTTCTTTTGGAATGTCCAAATTAAGAACTTAGATTGATTTAACTATATTTTCAGCAAGGGCAGAGTTGTAGTTTTCAACATTCCCTTTGTTGGGTGTAGGCGATATTCTTAAGTATAGCATGCTAGAAATGCAAAATATTGAAGTGAATTGGGCTTCAT